TTACAAAGTGTGGTTTATCCCAGGAACAAAGCAAGGATGTCTAATTTTATCATTTCTATGCAACACTGTAATGAAAATACTAGACAGGACTAGAAAGGGACATGAGGAAATATTCTTGGGTGATGAAAATGTACTAAAACTTGATTACAGGGTGGTTACAGTTATGATGCACTGTTAAGATTCACTGAATTGTATACTGAAGGGTCACGTATTTCATTATTTATAAATTTTACCTCACCAACAAAAAAAATGAAACTTTAAACAAATACTGAACTCTAATTAGTAGGCTTGCTTTACACAATGGTATGGTTTATCAGTTATAAAACTACTTCCTGTCTTTTCTTATGTGTGAACAAATGTATAAATATATTGAGTATAATGGGATCCTGGTTTCTCACTCTTGAAAAAATATATAGATTTCCTAACTGCTGAGAGGCACTAAAGCACTGACGCAAAAGTAGCAACAAACATCCCTTGTCATCAGACCTTGGTTTCTCAACACCACTCTTTCACTAAAAAGAACAAGCTCCCTTGGAGAAATGACTGATTCTAGGGTAATCAAAATACAAGATAAACATGGAACATAGTAAAGAATTTGCTCAAAAAATGATGGGGACATGTCAAAATGACAAAGGCAGGCTCCCACTGGCAGTTCAACATCAACCCACAGCCTCCAGCAATTTATCTGTTACATCAGTGGGCTGCCTGTTCCTGTGGCAGGAACTACACCTTCTCTTCACAGGTCGAATCTCTACCTTGTGGCTGGGGAAGTGAGCACTTCCTTCAAGTTTCTAAGATACCTCCTTGCTAACTCTTCTTCAGCCCAGAGGTGGTAGCTGCATTTTGTAGTTATTATTTCTGCGTAACTTCTGTATAACCTAGAGTCCTTGTTTACCCCCTCTTAGTACTTATTTTTTACTAGAAAACAAGTCTATATTAAAATTTTCCTTAAGATCACTGGTGTGGTATCTGTCTTCTAATTGGATGCTGACTGATATAAGGGCACATCACTTCTCTTTTAGTCCTATCAAAATACCTAAATATAATCATGAGGAAATATCAGACAAACCCAAAATGAGAGACATTCTACAAATTAAGTGACCTGTACTTTTCAAAATTTCAAGGACAAACAAGATAAAGAAAAATGACAACTGCAATGTGTGACTCCTGCTTGGTTTCTGTGGTTGGGGAATGGGAAATAATTATAAAGCATATTTACTGGGACGATTAATGAAATCTGAATATGGGCCATGGATTAGGTAATAATATTCTACCAATGTTACAGTTTCTAATTGTGATGATTATATTGTGGTAAGGTAAGAGAATATCTTTATTCTTGGGAAATACAAATATACTTAACAGTAATGGGCAACTTTCAAATTGTTCAAAATAAACTAGTGCGTGTGTGTGTGTGTGTGTGTGTGTGTACGTACAGGAAGAGGGGAGACTAATAAAGCAAATGGGGCAACTCGTAAACCACTGGCAAATCCAGGTAAAGTGAATACAAGAGTTCTTTTTACTATTCTTACATCTATTCTAAAAATGTTAAATTATATTAAAATTGAAAATTACCAAAAACAAAAAAATATATTTAGTCCTTGAAATATGTTAAACATCTTAAAAGGAAAGCATCAATAAAAATTCAAAACTGAAATCGGGTTCAAGATAGCAAACTGAATACATGCATAACAGGATTAAGAAACTACCAAACAAATTTCAAAAGATCCCTGAGCAAATCAGAAATTGTAAACAGGTAGGATTTGATAGTGAAACCAGAGCAAAACCTGTAACACAAAACTCATACAGAAGGAAGCTGCTGAGAGGTTTAAAAAGCCATTCCCAACCAAGCTCCCAGCTCAGAGTTAACGAAGAAAGCAGATCCGGGAAAATTATCAAAGCAATGAACTGAAGGAAGAATTCAGGATACAGTAGTCTGCCCTACCCAGTTTCACCTTCTGGAATTTCGGTTACTCAAGGTCAACCACATTCTGGAAGCAGATGATCCTCTTCCTGACTTATCTGTCAATAGCAACCTAATGTTAAGTCACAATACCTATGTCATTCACCTCACTTCGTTTCATCATGTGGGCATATCATCCCACACCATCCCAAGAAGAAGGGTAAGTACAGCACAGTTAAGATATTTTGACAGCGACCATATTCACATGTTGTTATAATTGTTCTATTTTATTTTTATTGTTGTTAATCTCTCACTGTGCCTCACTTATAAATTAAGGTTTATCATAGGTTATGTATAAGAAAAATATATAGTATATATAGAGTTCGGTACTGTTCGTGGTTTCTCAGGGTCTTGGACTATATCCCCATGGACAAAAGCAGGGGGGACTAGATCTTTCAAGCACCTTCCCCTCCTCTGCTTATACTAAACAGGAGGGATCCTCAGCATTTGATTTTAGAACAAAAGTCACAGAACTGCTTTCTAAACAAAGTGAGCAACTGTATTTGTGGAAGGGGGTGTAGGTGTGGGTACAATGTGGAGGGTGTCCTTATTAATGATATGGCTAGAGAGATGCAGAGCAGAAAGGCAAAAAAACCCTGCTAATTTCGGTTTTTGTCCCTGGCACATATAGTTTCCACAATGGGCACTAAAGGCTGAAAAGCAGGGAAGTAACCCAGGTTATTTGTAAGTGGATGGAAAGGGAAGTGTCTCCCTCCTTCTCACTCCTGCTACATAAGACAAGTTATTTATTCATCCTGCTCAACTGCATTGCTGGACCTTTCACCACTTCCAACATGCACCCTACCTTCCCTCCAGCCCAATACTACTCTAGGCAATGACCAAGAAGCAATATTTCTGAAGTTAAAATTTGAATTCACCAACAAATGAACATCAATTCTAGAATGAAAGCTCATTGTAAAAGGGATTTTTGTCTTTTTTTCCTCTGATGCATCCCCCAAAATCTGCAACAGTGTAATTGTTCAGTAAATATTTGTTGAATGAATTGATAAAAGTAATTCAATAGAAATAACTTAAATACCTGACTCTAATGGAATTGCTTAAGCAGCAATCCATACATCTAAATATTATGCAAACATTAAAAAGTTTATTTGTAAAGTTAGTGATATGGAGAAATATCTGATGACATGAAATGTTTTTTAAAAGATAATGGATAAGGGCACCTGTGTGGCTCAGTCAATTGGGTGTCTGCCTTCGCTGGGGTCATGATCTCAAGGTCTTGGGATCCAGCCCCACATAAGGCTCTCGGAGCCTGCTTCTCCCTCTCCCTTTGTGCTCTCTCTCTCAAATAAATAAATAAGATCTTTAAAAAAAAAAGGAAATGGATAACATATTCCTGAAGTAAATACACAACCTCTTGGTGGGTTTTTGGATTTTTGTTTTGCGTTCTCTGTATTTCCTGATTACAAATTATTATTAGAAAGAAACTCATCTTTTAATTTTGTTTTTCTTGAGAACACATTCAAACTCAACCCAGACATGATAACTACCTTGGCTGAACTGAATGTACCAATTAATAAACAAATGCAGGATCCTATACAGTAAGCATCAAGTATTGCTTGAGAGTTTGGACTCAGAAGACTACATGCTTATGTAACTTACACCTAAGTTAGGGAACCTGAATACTGACAACGAAACTTAATAGCTGTGGGACCCAGAGTAAGTGACTTAGCCACCATCAGCTTTAAAATTCAAGGTTTGTGTCAAGATTAAATGAATCAATACTCGTTTTTTTTTAAGATTTTATTTATTTATTTGACAGAGAGAGTTGGTGAGAGCAGGAACACAAGCAGGGGGAGTGGGAGAGGGAGAAGCAGGCTTCCTGTTGAGCAGGGAGCCCGATGCGGGGCTCGATCCCAGGACCCTGGGATCACGACCTGAGCCAAAGGCAGACACCATGACTAAGCCACCCAGGCGCCCCGAATCAATACTCATTTAAAGCACTTAAAACAGTGCCGGCACCACAGAACTATGCACGTATTAGCTTCTGTTATTACTGGACTCAAAACATTGTACTAGCTCTGGGGAGAGGACAAATCAAAATCCAGTCCCTACCCGTGAAGAGAGGGGGGACACACACAAAAGCAACGTAGGAGTCAAAGCAGAATGAAATCGGGCTAAAACCAGGTAGAGGCAACAAGCGGGCAGTTAGAGAAGAGTTAATCCAGAAAGTCACAGGAGCAAAACTGAACCAAGTTCCAGAAACGCGCAGGACTTCAGCAAGCAACAAATAAGACTGACCTGAGGGAAACCGCAAAGGATCTTGGCAAAGGCAGAAAAACTAAAAGTGAATAGCTCTTTCCCCAGGACACCAGAAATGCCGACAGGATGGACTGAACAGAATTGGTTAGAGTGCTCATCACGCAAAATGCCACGAAACCTCTGGTGAACAGAGCTGGTTGCAGTGTTTTACCCAAAATGACCGGGATGACAAGGGTAACGAAAACAGTATCGGTAACAATAGACCCCAAGGTACTAAACTGTAGAAAGGAAATAACAAAGGTGTCGTTAAGAAAGCTCGGACTACCGCGACCCAATCGCTGTCCACTATCCCCTGGGTGCCGCGGACCCTGGAGACAACGTGACTCGGGGCCGGCAGACGGCGAAACAGCGCCTCTCGCAGGCGGCAAACGAGCTGGGGAAGTACGGAGAGGAAGAGACCTGGGGTGAGAACTACAGCTCCCACTGAGGCCTGGCCCAAGGCCCCCTTTCCACATTTCCGCTTCCGCCGCCCGCCCTCGCGCACCGCCTTCAGGGGGACCTACCGGGGAGCGGGCCTGGCGCGTGATTGCGCGTGACCCTGCGTGACCGCGCGTGACTCTTCGAGAGGAGAAGCTCGGAGGCGGGACTCTGGGACTCCATTGGTTGAAAAGGCGACCCGAAAAGGTGGAACTCAACTTGAAAATGTCGATAATGATTGGAGTTGATAGGACGGGGGCGGAGCTACATGGCCAGGACCCTGGCCAATCAGCGTCTGGGATCGGCCAGGAGACCGGGAAGGAGAAAGGGGCGAAATGGTTTTATGGTCACATGCCGCGGGGTCTAGTGGGAGGAGCAGTTGCTCAGAGGACGCCTGGTGCTTCCTGTTTCCGGTTCTCGGAGTGGAGCACAACGAGGCGCCTTGGGGAAGCTTTGACACGAGTTCTGGGTCCGGGGTCTGCGGCTGGCCCCTCGCTGGCCCTGTCTCCCGGCCCCAGACAGGTATTCAGCCGGGGATTCTGCGCCTTGGCTACTCCCTTTGCCCGTGACACGTGAGTATGAGGGGCGTGGAGGAGGAGGGGAGCTGGAGAGCGCTCACACCTCGGTGTCCGTAACAGGGGCTGGGATCCCTAAGTCTCCTTTGGCCAGGGTTCGAGCCAAAATTCCAGCTAAGGAGCCCTAGGGCAGAATGAAGGCGGAGGCGTGAGGGCGGGGAGTCAGAGTCGCGAAGGGAGTGAGGGAAGAAAAGACCTACCAAGACTGGAGAGGGAATCGACGTGTGTTTGGAAGGCAAAGAAAGGAAGGACCCTGGGTATGGAGTCGTTTGAGGTGTTACTGGATACCTGTAGAGGGAATTTTTGGCCTGCATCGTGAAGGAAGGTATAGCGGCATCATTTGGAGAGGATACGGCCCTAGGCAGTTGGAAAGTCAGGAGATTAGACGGAATGAGAATTTCTAGAACCTTGGGAGAAGTTTGAAGGGGATGCGTGTATGGTATGGAGTAGCTACTAGAGAGCTTCTCTAGTGTTTTCTCTTTGTGGGGAGCTTCCGCCCATCGGACCTAGAGCTACTTCTCTAAGGCTTTTCAGCATTGGGCCGTTTAGCTAGTTAGGGCTGGTCTTCTATAAAAGGGTAGGGCTGCTGGAGACAGGAGATAAGAGCCGCTACCTCAGGAATGAGCCAAATAGCGGAAAGTAGAAATTCCACTGAAAAATGGAAAATGCTCATGGCTAGTCTTGAGGGGTGGGAAAGAGTGGTACAGACGCCCAGTAATGTGAACTGCTTCCCAATTCCTGGCTTAGTCGTGGGTCATCCCATTGTAGAGAATTGTTTGGCATTACCAAAATAGATCTGTCCTAGAACAAGAAAATTGAAGGGGATTTTTCAAAATCTTAAAGTCCTGCCCTTTATTTCCAAAGTATCTGGACAAACTATTGCACCTTGAGGATCTAATTGTAGCACAATAAAAGGGAACTACACAGCCCTTGGATTTCATACTCTCCCTAATAAATTTTTGCACCCCTGTATTTATCAGAAATTTTCCAGAAAATAGCTTTATGCCATGAATCCTCCAACTTGCCCCACCAACTTCATACATGTTTAATACTTGTATGACCTAGGGCAAATAATTTAACCTCTATAAGCATCAGTTTCCTCATCTGCAAAATGAGAGAAATTATACCTACTTTTCTGGGCTGTGAAGATTAACCTAATAGATAAAGCACTTAGAGCATTTGTCACTGAATCAAAAAGAAGTAGCTCAAAACCGACAAACCTTAAGCAGAAAAGAAAGAAGAGTATAAGTTGATTCTCATCCTAACTTCTTGAACCAATAAGCAAATGAAAGATGGTTCAGCTCCACTAAAGCAGACTGCAGGGTGTTTAACCCTTTATCCTATCCCAGTTTTGTAAGATTCTTTGTTCTAATTTGGGAAAAGAAATCATCAACTGTTAACAAATGAGGAACTAATTTTGAGGCCATACAACACAGCCTTCTGTGTGAGCATCCCCTCCAGAAAACTGGTTTGGGGGTGGGGGGAGCTTGAAAATCCAGAATGTTAAAATTTTAAATTAGACCCTGAAGAGAATATAAAGAATATGGCATGTTAAATCAATCTAATAAAAGGAATCTCTTAATACTTTTTTAGGAACACAGCTGGTCACATAGTGTGTTGAGCAATGAGTTAATTTAGGGAAGGTAGGAGTTTGAGGTTTGAGTTCTTTATTCCATCTCCTATTCAGTGAACTGTGTGAGGAGTCACTTCCCCCCTGCTTTGTCAAAAAGAAAGCTTTGGCTGCCTCCTCTTGAGCCCCCAAAAATTAATGTGAAAGGGGATACACATGTAGTGGTTAAGTGTAGACCATGAGCTCTGGAGCCAGACTTTCTGGGTCACTCCCTGGCTGTGTCTCAGTTTTCTCATCTGTAAAATAAGGACAATAATTGTATTTACTGCATAACGTTTTTGTAAGGATTAATTAGTTAATGCATGTTAAGTGCTTTTAAGAGTAAAAGGCAAGCACTCTATTAAGTTTTCTATTAGTGCTTTAAATGTGTTTATGGGGGCCTCAGACTTTATGACGCGATAATTATTCTGTGGACTTTATTAATATTGCTATAGTGAGTTGATTTTGGAAATACCCAAAGTTGAGGTGCCTGGGTGGCTCAGTCGGTTAAGTGTCTGCCTTTCGGCTCGGGTCATAATCCCAGCATCCTGGGATTGGCCGTGTAGGGCTCACTGCTCAATGAGGAGTCTGCTTCTCCCTCTCCCACTCCCCCCTGCTTGTGTTCCCTCTCTCGCTGTGTCTCTTTCTGTCAAATAAATAAATAAAATCTTAAAAAAAAAAAGAAAAGGAAATACACAAAGTCAGGGAGACAACTTCCCAAGCATTTGTTGCCCTAGGGGAATGTGGAAAACAGAAGATCAAGTGTAAATTTGTTTAGGGGAGTAGAGAAAATTCAGTCAGGGCTCAGAGCGTCCATTTTCCTATCTTTAAACTTACTAGTACCCATTAAACTCTGCCTAGTTTTATATTCTAGAAATGCACAGGAGCTGATGAAACAGCCTGAAAAAGAGTTAGAGGACTTTAAAGAGTATTAACCAAAGTCCAAGCTTGTAGCTGGAAGCATGTTATTACAAGTGAGAAAGGTTTGGAGGAATTAAATCTGTTTATGATAACAGTGACATTGTTATGAAATTAACAAGTAGCAATGGCCTGGGGGATCATTAACTAATGGACATCAGAGTGGAGTCTTTTGCAAGGGTACATCAATATGTCCTGGGTGTGAGGATGGATTAGAGAAAAGAAAATGAGTTTGGGAAATGGAGCCATGTGTTTCCATTGCTAGAGCAGTACAAGGAGCAGGTGAATTGGAAAGTGACTTAGTGATTCCCAAGAATTGTTACCAGTTCTGAGTGTACAAAGACAACTCTGAGATGAGCCATTAAAGTAGATAAATGTCAACTTTTAGGTGCTATGGCTGTGTTTATCTCTAGTCATCTTTCTTATGGTGAATATGAACAAAGACTGTTGGATGCTCCTGACTATTGATAGGAGAAGTTAGGACCCAAAGTACTGAAGTCCCTTTCTCTATCTTACATCTTTCTCAATAACTTTCAACTAGACTTGATCAAGTATTATAATTTCATTGTCATCTTAGGGAGGACCACAGGTTGAAGCAGTTTTTATGAACTAGTATTAAACTTTAAATGAGATATTGCAGTCTAACTTTTCACAAAACAGTAAAGATGCTCGCACTCTCTCAAAATAAATAAGTAAATCTTTAAAAATAAAGAAAAAGAAAAAGAGAAACCTAAAGATTAAGAATCCTATTCTGAATATTAAAGAACGGGGGAAAAATAATGGGTGAAAGTTAAAAGCTTGAAATAGACGCAAGAAAATAAAACCCAACTTTGTGATAATGAGGAAAACTGACTAGTGTAAAATAAGTGATGGATGGAAGATAAAACCGTAAAGATTACACATTCATGCGCTTTATCACTTTCCCCCCTCTCCTGATCTTCCCCCGCTTCTTCAACACCCACACCCCATCTCCCAAAAGGATGTTCCCCTTCTACAGCTGCTGGAGGACTGGACTGCTCCTGCCACTGCTCCTAGCTGTGGTAGTAAGAGAATCCTGGCAGACAGAAGAAAAAACCTGTGACCTGGTGGGAGAGAAAGGTCGAGAGTCCGAGAAAGAGTTGGCTCTACTGAAGAGGCTGCAACCGCTGTATAACAAAAGGTAAATGAGAAGAGCTTTGAAGGGCTTGAGAAAATAACTTTGTTAAAGAATCTTTACCTCCAGGGCGCCTGGCTCGCTCAGTTGGTGGAGCAATGCAACTCTTGATCTTGTGGTTGTAAGTTCGAATCCCACATTGGGTAGAGACACTTTTAAAACAAATAAAACCCAGGGGCGCCTGGGTGGCTCAGTCATTAAGCGTGTGCCTTCGGCTCAGGTCATGATCCCAGGGTCCTGGAATCGAGCTCAGCGTCGGGCTCCCTGCTCCACAGGAGGCCTGCTTCTCCCTCTCCCACTCTCCCTGCTTGTGTTCCCTCTCTTGCTGTATCGCTCTCTGTCAAATAAATAAAATCTTTTAAATAAGTAAATAAATAAAATCATAAAAAACTGTTTTTTTTCTCTCCACTTACTGACTTTATTTTAGTATTACCACTCTATGTGGTGGGAATACATGTATAATAACCTCTCTCGGAGATGGTTCTAATCTGAACTTTAGTAATACTGGTCTTATTTGGCCATGATATCTTCATTTTTTAATTTTTTTTTTTTTTAAGTAGGCTCCATGCCCAGCGTGGAGTCCGATGTAGGGCTCGAATCCACAACCCTGAGGTCCAGACCTGAGATGAGATCAAGAGTCAGACGCCTAACCTACTGAGCCACTCAAGCACCCCTACTTTTTTTTATGCTATAGAGCAAATTCTCAGCCCAGTTTTTAGTAGCAATGTGCAATTCTCTTATGTAGAAGAGTAACTGTTTTCAAGACTGGATCCAGGAGACCACCTTGTAGGAATTAAAAAGCATTATTTGGTACTTCCATATAATAGGACTTTAGAAGTATCAGATAAACATTGAGGCCTATACACATAAGTGTCTGGAATCTTCACGTATATAAATCTGAAGATAATCTTCAAAGAACAAGGGACCATGGGATACTTCCCATGAACATAGATCCTTATTCACAGGGAAATAGCAACTGACACTTCAGCATGGTCTAGAACAGGTATTCTAGAATATCTAGCTGTCTTGGATCTTGTGTTTTAATCAGTCATCAATAGTTAGGATTGTCTCATTCAACAAATAAACTATTCACTGTTACATGGATATCTCTTGATCAACAAATATTCACTAGTACATTTAGTTGTGACATCAGGTAAATAAATTGATCACACTTGGGGGTGGGCAGGGAGGTGGGAGGGTGGGGAGGCAGCTTAAAGGAAGAGAGGCTGCTTGTCCTAAGGCTGATAGCCAGTAATTCTTCCTTCGTTCTCCTCACTTCTCCTTACAGCTTTGAGAGCACTGTGGGCCAGGGCCCAGACACATATATCTACATGTTCAGGGTGTGCCGGGAAGCTGGCAACCGCACCTCTGGGGCAGGCCTGGTGCAGATCAACAAAAGTAACGGGAAGGAGACAGTGGTAGGGAGACTCAACGAGACTCACATCTTCAATGGAAGTAAGACTCTCCCTGTTGATTAATTGATCCCATGTCAATTCCTCTGGCAGTCCTGTATGTGTCAGCCTTTTCCATTCTCTTCCGAGTATCATATGCTTCAGCTCACCTGAGACTAACACGGCTCCTCTGGAGCCATGGCTCAGGACCTTTATGTGTTTGTTTTAAAGTTAATGAAAAGCTCATGCATAAAGAATCTAGCTGGGATTCTGTAGCTTCATGTGTTTTTCACACCAGACTTGAAAATACCAACAATGACCATTTCTCATTGAATTAGTCCAGTTTTGCCAGTTACATTTTCAGACATTAAGCTTTTTTGCAAACCAGTCTACAAAAACTTCCCCAAACAACTTGTGCTATGGTGATTAGGTTTCTCAAAAGTCATAAAATCATATTGCTAGAAAGAACTATGAGCACCTGTGGTCTGATTCCCTCCCTTAAGCAGATAACTGTATTTTCCAGTGCACATATTTGTTCATATCAATAATATAATGAAAAATAACATCAAGAGTTTGGGGGTAGGGATTGGAAGACTGGATTTTTTACCCAGCTCATGTTTATTTGTCCTGTGACTTTGAAAAATCATTTCATCTTCTTGTGTTTCTTCATATGCAAGATTAGAAGAATTTTTAACCTTATTCACCTCACGTGATTGATAAATCAAAGGATATTTTGCAAAAGAAATTTGAATGCCATAAATATTAAAGAACAAATGGCTCCCGATCTTAAAAATCATCCATATTGTATTTATCTGGGGCTAATTTTAAATCTTAGGTTTTGCTGCCACCTAAGAATTTTATGGAACCTCTTCTGATGTTAGCAGGTGTTCAGAAAATGTCAATCATTGTCAGAGTATGGGTCCTAATTGTTTTTGTACTATCGGTTGCCTGCCTTTAATGTGGAAAATTAGGATTATTCTTATATGAATATCTGATTCTTAGTTGTCTTAAAGGAACAGAAAGCTGTTACAAAGAAGCAGGATTTAGCTTGGTATTTCTGTACTACAGAACTCATATTGATACTGGTTATTTTAATTAAGACCAATTTCATTGAACTCCTCAGTGCCTTTCTACCATTGTACCCAGGCCTGCCTCTGCTTTTCCCCCCACCCCAAAGCAACATTTCCCTTGTCCCTCCTCAGGTAATTGGATCATGCTGATCTATAAAGGGGGTGACGAATATGACAGTCACTGTGGCATGGAGCAGCGTCGTGCAGTGGTGATGATCTCCTGCAATCGACACACGCTAGCGGTGAGGCGTCCTGGGGCACACGAGCCTAGAGAACAGATGACAGGACTGGCCTGAGGTGGGAGAGAATTTCCAGAGGGGACAAGATACATCGGGATGGATCGGAGAAAACTAGAAGTTCAGTTTTTTCTTGTGTCACAGGCACCTGTCTTCCATCATACATGGAAAATAAGTTATTCAGTCAAGAGAAAGCAAATGCTTTTTTAGCTTGTGGGTTTTTTCTTTTTCTAAGGGTCAAAAGGAAACAGTTTACCACATAAGCGTTGTGTTCTGTCCTTCATCGTCAGGGCAATTTTAACCCTGTGTCTGAGGAGCGAGGCAAAGTTCAAGATTGTTTCTACCTCTTTGAGATGGATAGCAGCCTGGCCTGTTCCCCAGAGATCTCCCACCTTAGTGTGGGTTCTATCTTACTAGTCACGTGAGTGCTTTTTCCCTTATCAGTCCAAACCTTCCTTTTTTTTTTTTTCCTTAAACTCAGTTACTTGGTGGTATTTAGACAAAAATTCTGTGTGTTTGTGTGTGTGCACGCACTGTACCATAATTGGAGGTGGGAAACTTTGTGAAAATTCTCTTTAAACTCTTGACTACGCAAGCTTAAAAAAAATTAGATCTAATGTTTCACCCCTGATAAATATTTGCATTTGGAAATGCTTTCTATCCCATTACTGGAGGACTGGACAGTTTTTAATACTATCCCATTAGATTATAAGAACTTTTGGAGAAATGGAACTGTATAGCTAATAGTACCTATTCTTGGCTCTAAGAGTCACACACTAGGTCTTATTTTTGTCTGAGCCTTTGCTTCTAGTGCTCTAATTGGTTTTCTAAAGAAGGTACCCTCCCTGTTTTGGTCGCCCCCCCCCCATTTTAATAGAATACAGACTGGGAAACCACTAATGAATATAAAGATTATCTTTATTATCAGAGTTTTAGTATTCCTTGGTTTTTAAGTAGAGATGTTTTTCTTCCTCATAGGTTTGCATCACTGGTTGCGGTCTATATCATCGGGGGGTTCCTATACCAGCGACTGGTGGTGGGAGCCAAGGGAATGGAGCAGTTTCCCCACTTAGCCTTCTGGCAAGATCTTGGCAACCTGGTAGCAGTAAGTAATAGGACTGCTGGCTGAGTCTAGCCTGCGGGCAAGGTTGAGTGACCAACCATCCTGGTTTACCCAGACTGAGGGATTTCCAAGGACATAGGACTTTGGGTGCTAAACCCACAGAAGTCCCAGCAAACCAAGTACAAAGTACTTGTTGGCCCTGGTATAAAGTAACATCTTAGTGTCTGGCCTTGCTAAAGACCTGGCTGGAAGAGCAACACTGTTGCTTAAATTGAGGAATATGATAAAGCTATTAAGGGACCTGGATGGGGAGAAAGAAAGACCTAATTAGAATTTTTCTCCCGTTAGCCCTAAATTCAATTTAGGCCGATCCTTAGAGCTTCTGGATTTTCTCTTCATCTTCCTTGAAGAAACCTAGTTCTTGGCATATTCTTAGACCATAGGTACATATTTGCCTTACCCTCCAAGTTGGTTATTCCAAATTATCATTTCCTTCCTTTGCTTCTTTCTGCAGGATGGTTGTGACTTTGTGTGCCGTTCTAAACCCCGAAATGTGCCTGCTGCATATCGTGGTGTGGGGGATGATCAGCTGGGGGAGGAGTCAGAAGAAAGGGATGATCATTTATTACCAATGTGATTGCACTTTAAATACCCAGCTGCTTCTCCAGTCCCCCAAACCAAAGCATACTCAGCCAGATTTCTTAAGCAGTGTCCACTCCAGTTCTCTCATCCCACCCTTAACATTGCTCTTGCTTTCCAGTTTGCTTTTGATTTGTATTCTCTTCTCACTAGTAGAAATGCCTTCCCTTTGTTCCGTTTTGTTTTTCCTCTAGAATACAGTTGTAGGAGAGAGAAAATAGGGCCTGTGCAGAAGAGGCTATCACACTATCTCTTGGTATCAGAAGGTACAAGTAGGATAGTTACAGTGACAAAAACAGTGTGGCAGGCTCCTTTTTTAAACACCTTTTCACAAGTTTTTGAGACACTGGATTTCTTTAATTAAAAAAAAAGGGCAAAGAAACATTATTTATACAAGGTTTGATTGCTTTCATGCTGTTACTCTGTACCCTACAGTAGTTTCCATGAGAATCTGGATGTAATTTTTTGCTACTTGGAACTACTCTGTGGTGATTACTTGGTTGCGTTCCAAGTATTGCCATTTGGTCTGAGCCTGGAGATGTTGCAGACTTGCTTCTCCCACCTCTGGGATTAGGATGGGGAAAATGTTTTAATTTCCCACTTAGAGGATTATAAAATACCATCACATCAGTTGTTGGCATTGGAGTGACCTTATAGTCAGAACTGGGCCCTGGATTGTGGGCTCGTGGTCACTGGTCCATATGTGGCCAAAATGCCTTATCCAGAAGTCTAGTCCATTGGAAAGGGAAAGTGAATTGGACCTCCTGTGCTACAGGGGTTCCAGAAAAGGAAGTCTGTTTACCTGTAGTGGGATCTCCTCGATGGCTTTCTTCTCCCACTTGCAGTAAAAGCTGGCAGAGCTTTTCTTCTAAGCTGTTTCCCTCTACCCATATTTCTAAATATGTTGCACTTTCTTCACAGGCATGTCGACTTCTCCCCCCTTCCCCCGCCCCAATCTTTTGGAAAGGGAATAAAAGCAGAGGTGGGACATCTAGGGCTTTGCCATCCCGTGCTCTGGGTGTGGAATGCTGCTGTACCTGTCCCTTCTGGCTCAGGGAAGTATCTTCTTGCCCACAAGAGTTTCTGTGGGGAAAGGTTTTGAATCCTCTGATGCTTCCACTTTTTTGTTTAGACCATGTGCCCAGAAGCCTGGCCCCATCTTTCTGTAATAGTGAACCTGGGCCATTGAAGAGTAAGGTGGCTCCACTGGACACAAGAGGATGGAATCAGTAGGCAGGGGCTTTTTAATAGCCTTTAGGGAAGAAAATGAAATTATTTCATCTTTGGACTTTTAAATACTATTGGAATGATTTTTTTTTTCTTCTTTTCTAAACAGGGAAAATAATGTTATAAAACATCTTTTTTGTTATTTGTTTGCATCCCTCCCCCAGTTTTAAAAATGCAAAAAAAAAAAACTACATTTTTTGTATAAAAACACGTAAAAGATTAAAAAAACAAACAAGTTGCCCTAGTCTTTTGTGTGAAAGAAGAGAATAGAGACACTGGAATGGAGTAAGAGACAACTGAGACCAATTTTTATCCTTTTACTGAGGAGGAAAAAAATATTTAATATTTTTGTTGTATAAGGAATAGCGCCTAAGGCAGGTACTTATACTCCTGACCTCAGCCCCACACACTCCCGTTTTAATAAAGCTATAGGACAGAGCAGAGTTGGAATTGAAAAGAAAGGCAGGGTAGGAGACACAACAGGGAAACTGAAGGGAGCAGGGGGATGCAGAAAGAATGACAGCCACATGTGTGCCACACACCTTTTAGCCCCTGCAGCACATCAGAATGACACCAACCAAGTCTCTGCACCAGCGAGTGACTCTGCCACGGAGGCGCAGGAGAAGACGTTCAGTACTAAGGGAGCGACAACAAAGAAAACTCTGGGCCACAGCCGCAGTTGGGCAATCCAGAGGGAAGAGAGGGAGTACCAGATGTCACTACTTGTGTCACACAAGCTAGAAAAACCCTACCTCTCCCGTTGTGGAGGCACACCTACGTCCCACCCACTTCCTTACCTTACCATACTGTCTACTCCTCTTGGAGAACTGAGGCCCTGGCTAGATCCTCCACTCCAGGATAAGGCTGAGCAGCCCTAGCTCTCTAGACTGCCTCTTTTAAAGATTAGGGTAGGTGAGAAAAGTGAGACCTGTACTGATTTTAAAAAAGAAGGTAGAACCAGAGAAAATGTCACAGCTGCCGCCATGTAGCACCAGCAACCAATTCTTGCACTTTTCTTCCCTGTCTCAGAAGATTTAAGTAATTGGAACAGCTCTTTCTTCCCTGTAAAGTCTGCTGGTACCAGGTTATAACCTGGACAGTGGAGAGTGTCTGCCTTAGGCTCGTTTGTGCAAGAGGGCCACCTTAGGTCTCCTTGAGGACGTTTATCTTGGCGCAGATCTTGAGGGCAGGGCCCAACTTGATGTTCATGGCACTCATAAGATGTTCCTCTTTAAGTAATAAAAGGGCCTGTCCATCAATCTCCTGGGAACGAAACTCCTCTGCAATCTCTTGGCAGCCTAGAAGGAAATGGTGGGAATACACATGAGAAACTATGTGGTGGCACAAGAGGATCGGAGGGGGAAACTCGAGATGAAAAAATGGAGACCCAGCAGTGGTTAATCCCAAAGTACTCATCCTAAATTCAGGAATATAAAAGTCTGAGATGGGAAGCTTTGGAAGTAAAATGAAATCAGAGAAACTTGCTATGTAAAAAAGCCAAGAGGAAAGAAGAACAAAGGTGTTCAGTCACAGAAGTAACTTCATTCAAATAGCTTGAGGGAGAAAAGGGAAGGAGCAAGACCGTATGTTTTCTTTCACAGTAGCAAAAAAATCAAAGTTCAGAGCCTTTCTGGCATCTTTAAGGGCTGAGAATTCAGACAAACAGCAAAAAGGGTAATGTGATTTTCTTTTCTGAAGAAAACCATCCTTTTTGTCAAGAATAGCTTATAAACAGTCCTGCCTGTAAGAGTGTTGGATAACGATGGCCCCTACTTTCCTAATCCCTTTAGTGGAAACAGTCTTTCATCTATGTCTGGTATCACAAAATCACATATAAAAAACATACTTTATCCAAAAATTATTGGTAAGAAATAGTGAAAATCAAATATCGCAAGATTGCTGACAGAGGACAATCAGCCCAAAAGGAAATTAAGAAACCAGGCTGTGGGCAAGTAACCTGGGTAAATATGAAGAATAGAGCCTTTGTCATAACCATACTTAAGCACCTACTGCTTAAAAGTTCTGTTCCCTATCACAAAGGCCCATGTGGGATGATCTAAAGAAAAGTAAACCTGTATGTGATCTGGGTTCTACTGGATAGGCCCTCAATACCTTGTAGAGAAGCAATAAACTCATACACCTCTTCTACACTCCAACGGCTGGGATTGCTGGACAGGAACACAGGGTTGATGCCATGTAATTCCGGCGTTGGTGGCGCTGTATTGGGGTTCCCCAGGTCACGTTCTCCATGCCCAGTTCGCACAGATAAAGGCCCAGGAGATGTTGGAGAGAGTGCTTCATCGTAACTGGAATTATCTGAACCCCGGCTAGAGTCCTCTTGACCCTACAGAGAACAACACAAAGCAGGTCATGAATGAGTGTCGGAAGGTTTCTTTCCCTCACCCCTTCCCAGTCAACTGGGTTCGGGTTAATACTAGGCGTAAAGGAGAAACTAGTATTACAGTGAAGAAACTGTACTTTGCAAGTGTCTGGAGTCACTAGTCCACTCTCAAGTAACTTTCAAGTATAAACTATCACTTTCTTGATTCTCCCCTTCTTCCAACAATCGTAATCTAGATTTTGTCAAATGTAATGATTAATGGACACATGAACCAGTAATCAGGTGAGAAGAGACAAGGAGTCAGGATCTCTTGGAATTTGGAGTAATGCCATCAATACAAAACTCAGAGTTCTGGTCTCATACTCTTTTACCGGGGCAAAGGAACTGCCCCGTAGGGAAAGAGGAAGGAAAAAGGACCATTTTAAAAGTAGCTGGCTCTGCAACAGACGCTCACCCGGTGGCGCTTGCCCTGGATTTTGGCACGGGCAATGTCAGAGGAGCTACGGCGGGGTCCGCGCCGACGAACACGAGCGTAGTTGGCTTCTTGGAACTCTTTCATTTTTTTCCTCTTCAGCCGGAACTGGTGACTACAGCTCACATTATACCTACGGGTCGGAGCATATATGGGATGTCAGCAGTGCCGGAGAAGACCACCTGGCTAGCCTTCACTACGTGGGAACTGGTATTTTAAGAACCAACTTGGGGAAGAACAAGAAAGCAAAGAAGACAGGAAACATCAGCCGTGAGGTGATCCTAGGGATGGGGCCCACTATTAGATGGAGAAACTGATGCTGAAGGTGAGGAAGGGAGGGTGGGTGCCATGGTACCTCTTAGCACAGGTCATTGAGCAGAACCTCTTGGAGCCTCGAAACTGCTCAGCAGGAGCATACTTTCCGCAGTACTCACACTTCAGGAGATTTGCCTTCTTATCTAGCTCTGGAAAACAAGGCATCCCTGGAGACTTGTCACTGGGACTGCTGCCGCTCAGGCCATCATTAGGCCCACAGCTGACTCTAATTACTCTCAGGGTTTGCCCCCCAAGACCTACACAACCTAATTCAGAATCCCTCAAACATAAAGCTCAAAACCCAAAACCATAAAGACACGTCCCTCAAGAACAGCATGGTCTTCCTGACTTAAACCAGCCTAGTTTCCATTTTCGATGACTAACTTTATCCCAATTCATACTCTCAGACTGCAGACAAGACTGCAATTCAGAATAGGAGAGAGGAACTAATTACTAACTAGAAAGATACAGGATCCCTCTCCCAGTAAAAGTTTACAAAAGCAGTGGGAGAGGGGCGCCTGGGTGGCTCAGTCGTTAAGCGTCTGCCTTCGGCTCAGGTCCTGATCCCAGGGTCCTGGGATCGAGGCCCACATCGGGCTCCCTGCTCCACGGGAAGCCTGCTTCTCCTTCTCCCACTCCCCCTGCTTGTGTTCCCTCTCTCGCTGTGTCTCTCTCTGTCAAATAAATAAAATCTTAAAAAAAAAAAAAACAGTGGGAGAAATGTAAACAAGAGACCTTAATATAGATTATAAAACCTCGAATAAGGAGAAATGGAAATTAAGAAATATACTATTTTAGATCATCTTTTGAAAAATACACCCTTACAGTAAACAAGTAAATAAAATTCAGGTTGGCTTGATAAAATTACCCTAATCCGACAGGGAACTCCTTTTGCGTGATTCCACACATTCTGATATTTAATACAGTTCCTGTGTGTGGATGGACTTTGTATACCTCCCACTTTAAATAATTGCCATTTTACACTGAGTCCTCAAACAAATCTCCCTGAGTCTCCTTCCCCAGATGGGTCTCTAAATAAATACTTACCAGCAGATGGGCTGTCCCCTCCCAAGGGGGCCCCTGACTGATTCTCATTCAGCCCTGTCGGGAGGCCAGTCTGTAGTGGCTTCTCAGACTCTTTCAGTAACTGAGAACAACCCACCTGTGCCAGAAAAAGTTTACAGTTAGGTTAGCCTAGTCCCTTTCTGCTTCTCTATATAACTTTCCCCAGTGTTTCTCACCGCCATGCCTTTGCCTGGTTCTCGGAGTTAATGGCCAAGTCTGGTTTAGAGAAACATTTTTCAACATGGCAATCAAGAGGCCCTAACTGGCTCTTTTCAGATGAACCACTGGAAAACAGGTTCCTACCTTGGCTGTCTAGCTTGTCCTTTTCCTTCCGAAGTTACAGATACCTGTTGTTCTAGCCCTAGTTCTACAACTCCTGGTATCCAGAAAAGTCCCTTAACTTCTCCACCACAAATCCCTTCATTGTAATACAGCCTAGTTTGCGTAACTAAACATTCAGCTTCTTCCTTCTCTTCCCAACACTTTCATTTGCTGGTCTACACATATTCTTTCCTTTACCCCTTCCCTTCCTTCTTTACAATTAACCATACAAACAATAGAACTGAACCATTCTCTAATAATTAAATGGTTCTGAGACTTGATTTTAGTGGACTTTGGAAAGATAATAATCAGACCAAGTCCCCACTTGAAAGTCCCACCTTATGGCCCTGCCCTCACCGGGAAAGGCTCTGCTCCTTCCTGGATAACGAAGCCTTCAATGATGTGGGTGAGAATCTGGGGCTTCACGATGGCCTGTGGAGGTTTTGAGTCACCCGTTTGTCTGGACACCATGGCTAGTGTAGGAGGGGGTGCGGATGGGGCAGGAGCCAAGGCTACTAGCTCACTGCTTGGAGTATTAGCATTCACACCAGTCACTGGTTCAGCTTTCTCTGGAATAGATTAAGGAACAGATAGGGGATGACGTAACTGATCCATCTATTAGCCAAGCCAGTCTGATCTTCCACAATCATACATGTTCACCTTTGAATATTCACCCTGGAGTCCCTGTTTTTGGATCTACCCATTCGTCCACGAAGTTCAGGCCCATCTTCTACGGAACCAGATGTAGCTCTGAGCTCACTCAGAACAGGTCTCTAATCTCTGCACTCCAATAGGACTGCAGAAGTCAGTTACTTACCTCCAAGACTGCTCTTCTCCTCCATGGCCTTTGGGCTCTCGGCTACTGGAGATGCCTTGGCAGAAAGCATTGAACCCAACGTGGAGACATCGTCTCTCTCCTCCTCAGACTCTGCCTTGCGTTTGACAGCCAGTGTCTGGGGTTTGCTCTATAAGGTGAGGAATAGGAAAGAAACCAAGATTTATGAGTGAAGGATAATAAGGAACCTCAATGACTCCCATACTGTCAGTGAAAATGTTCTTAGTTCCAGATTTCCCAATTTGTGTATCTTCCCACAGTACACTAAAATTCCCGGTCATTCCCAAGAAGCGTATCTTCTATGTCAGGACAAAAGAAACTGTCACATTTAGTCCTGACCTACACCTCGGGATCCTGGATTCATTATGGCCCCACTGAGAACCACTATTTTTATAAAGACCAATTTAAGTGATTAAGGCTATCTTGATCTAACTTTGTATAGATCCAAAAACCCAGAATGATTTCAGTAGCAAATTTAAGAGTATGAAGTACAGATTATTATATACATTAATGTCTCCTACAAAAGTAACAAATAAATACCAGTATCTTAACCTTCCATCAATGTCTTACAAAAGCAGCACATAGCAGTTTAAGTTTTACAGTTTGTAACAAATAGTTGTCATAGACAAAACAATGCAATGATTAACAGAGCAACTGGTGCAATACCATATTCATGCGCGTGCGCGCACACACACACCACATACATACACACTCACTCACACATATTATGTATCTGTCATGGACTAAATGTTTGTGGTTCCCTCCCCCTCCCAACCCCTAAGTCCTAACCCCAGTATTTGGAGATGGGGCTTCTAAGGAAGTAATAAAGGTAAGATGATAAATAGCATCTCAACCTTCCCAACTCTTTACTCCCCTCCCAAGTTAAGCTCTGTATGGGTCCACTGAGCCCCAGGTCCATTCAAGGGTGACCGTGCCCTCAAAACCATCAGACCTCACTCACCGGCAGGTGCACGGACTGCATGTAGAAGGCAGCAGGTACCTGGGCCACAGCAGGTGAGGAGGTCGTAGCCCCAGCCTTCACCACATGTGCTGTCCCTTGCACGGGAGCCAGGCTCATCCCAGAGGCCAACGTCGGGGGGCACTCTTGCAGCGCCCCGGGAGCCTGGGATGAAGGTGGTGAGGAGGCCAAGTGGGCCTGCCCAGGCTGCACCGTATTGGGCATCCCCCGGGACGTAGGTACGGCAGCCGCCAGCTGTGCCAACCCCAGAGCCTGCGCCTGGGCCGTCCCCGGCTGCCGGGTGCCCACGACTTGCACAGGGATGTGGGGCGGTGGTTGCTGGGCAGCTGACATCTTCGCGGCACCTAGCTGAGGAGGCTTGATGGGTGCTACAGGTGGCTTGGACTGGATGGGGATAGGTGGCTTGGGGGTTGGGTCAGGCGGGAGGGACAAGGGTGAAGACTGAAGCATGGGTTGAACCACCAGGGTCTGGGCTTGTTGCGGGGACTGGGAAGGCGGGACCTGCTGTGTAGGCGGGCCCTGCGGCGGCTGAGGGGCAGGGAGGGGGGTGGCCGGTGGCGGCGGGGGCGGCGGCGGGGGCGGCGGGGGCGGCGGGGGCTGCTGCTGCTGCTGCTGGGCCAGCTGGAGGTGCGTGGCCGTGTGCAGGAGCTGGGACTGCCGGTGCTGGAACTGCTGCTGGTGGTGGATGGCAATCTGCTGCTGGATGACCACCTGCTTCTGCTGGAGGTGGATCTGCTGCTGCTGCTGAATCAGGGAGTGGGGCTGGATCTGCGTGTAGGTGGCTACAGCAACAAGCCCAGGACGGAACAAAGAAGAGCGGGAAATAATCATTAACATTACAAATTAAAAGTGAAATCACCTTTCCAAGGCGTACCGAGCGTTGGTATCACACAGGGAATGGCAACGTAACTGGGAAGGACCCGGGACATCGCTTCATTCATACTCTTCCCTCTGAGTCAGACATGACCAACTCTCTCTCTCTACAATGAAGGACCTCAAGGGAAGAAGTCCCTTGCGCGGTCATTTCACGGTCCTCAGTAATTTCTTGCAGCCATCTAACTTTTATTTTCTTTGCTATACTAAATCCTGTCCATTTGATCCAGCAAAGGAGAAGGGCTGGCCCATCGCCCGTATGATTAGACTTGAGTTCTTCAAGGGCTGAGTCCCTGCTTTCTACATTTGTACATCCCCAGAAGCCAGCCCAGTGCCCGGCACATGAGAAAGACGTAATGGTCACTGAGAGAATAAACGTCCACAGAGGTAAAGATTCCAACAGCTTCCCGTGGATGCCTCGGTTCTTCAGACTCATCAGGTTAGGTCACCACCTAGTAGAAGTCTCAAGAGCCAGCTGCTGCAGGTCCGGCCTTTACCCAGTTTCCTCCGCGGCAGGCGGCGCCGACAATCTCCCCCACTCGCGACTCTCCCAGATTGCCCAGGGAGCATGTAGGAGATGGAAGCACTTCGGAAACCGAATGCTACGGTACGTAAATACTAGGTAGGAGGAGTATAGCCGATGATGAACTCATAACTTTTTGTAAGTAAATCATCCAAATACAGCAACAACTAAAGTGCTAGAAACAAGGCAGGGAAAAATAAACATTACCAAGTAAGGTGCACACATCTAACTATACCTAACCACATCTAAAAGCAACTATAAACCATTGGGGTTATTCTTTTTTTATCCTTATTATCGATCCAGATGATCACAAGTTCACTATATTAAACCGTGGCTCGGGCACCTGGGTGGCTCAGCTGTTAAGCGTCTGCCTTCAGCTCAGGTCATGATCCCAGGGTCCTGGGATGGAGCCCCACATTGGGCTCCCTGCTCCGCGGGAAGCCTGCTTCTCCCTCTCCCACTCCCCCTGCTTGTGTTCCCTCTCTCGCTGTGTCTCTCTCTGTCAAATAAAATCTTTCAAAACAAAACAAAACAAAAACCCGTGGCTCTATTTGCTAGTCCTAAGTGCTCTAAGGCACTTACACCATCTCTGCTCTACCCTGGCCCAACAAATCATCATTAAACAGAGTGAGGAGGGGCACTTGGGTGGCTCAGTCGGTTAAGCATCTGCCTTCGGCTCAGGTCATGATCCCAGCCGGGAGCCTGCTTTTCCCTCTCCCTCTGCCCCCCCGCTGCTTGTGATCTCTTCCCCCCCCCACCCCCCGCTTGTGATCTCTCTCTCGCTCTCTGTCAAATAAATAAAATCTTTTAAAAAATAAAATAAAATAAATAGAGTGAAGAGAGAAGTCATCCCTTAAGCTAAATCGTAAGCTCCATGAGGACAAGGAATCTGTTTTTCAAAGATGCATCCCTAACACCTCCTACAACACAGCAGGCAATTCAGTTGAGAACTAGGTAAATGAATGGGTGGGATGGGTAAACTGACAAACTCAGGGCCAAGAAGAGGGGGACAAAGCAATCTGTAAACTGACTGCTGCCTGGTGGAAACAGAGATCTACCTCTGTTACCTGTCCTCTCTCCCTGGACTAATATGATCAAGGCTGATGTGATTTTCTTTCCTTCCACTACTCCAGGACCAAGAGAAGCAGGAAAAATGGCAAAGCAATGTACTCTGAAGATTTCAAACAAGTTCTGAGAGAATAATGACCTTGGGAGAGGTGACAGCTTACCTGAGCTAATAAGGGTCTGGCTGGGAGCAGGTGTAGCTGTCCGTGTCAGGTTCATGCCCACATTCTGCTGACCAGGCCCATCTGCTTCTGCCTTCTTGGCCGCTGCACTTTCTGCTTCTGTCTGGCTTCCCTGACTCACAGTCACTGTTTGGGCTGCAGGCAAGGGCTGCACCACTCCTGTGCCCTTCCTGGGACAGCTCCCACCCCCACCCATTCCTGAGGAAGGCAACTGACCCAAGCCCCCAGGTGCCTGGCCACCTCCGCCTGGCCCCACGGATCCGGGGATGCTACTCCCACTGCCTGCACCAGCTTGACTGAGGTTGAGGGACTGGCCCGAGGCCCCAGAGGAAGCCTGAGCCACAGCAAGGGCCTGGCTAGAGGCCTGGGAGAGGCTAGAGACAGGGGAGGCTCCAGGAGGAATGGCCTTCTGAGTAGAGCCTTGCATCTGGGGTCCTTGGGCTGAGGCCTGTTGGTTCCTCACTGCCAAATTCTGCACCTGAAAGATAAGAAGAAAAAGATATATTGAGAAAAGGGGAACAGGGGGCATGAAGGTCAAAGACTTCTGTGACTGATTCAGGAGCAGTGAAGACAGAAATTAATAAAATACAATGACATGCACTTAGATATTCCCCAGCCCCCCCCTCAAACTTTGTCCCCCCACCTTTACAATTACATACATTAAAGTCCGTCCAGTCACCCAGGGAGGGACTCTTGAATCCTATTTGATTTTCAGTCTCCTTCATTCACTATCAAATCTATCAGCAAGTTTGCTCATTTATTCCTTCGAAATGTGTCAGATTTTCCCTTTCTTCTCCATTCGTTCATTCATTCAACACTGACCAAATAACCTACTATGTTTCAGGTACTACACTGGATACTGGAAATGCAAAGACGAAAGACACTGTCCCTGCCCTTAATGAGTACTTTCTACCGGAACAGACAGACAAGAAAATCAACGATAGCCCTATTATACTCTATGCAGAGATCTGCGCAAAGTGCCATGGGAGCAGAGGAGGAAGACACACTCAGACCGGGGAGATTAGGGAAGACTTCCTAAAACAGTCTTTTGTTCCATCTGAGACTCCATGGGTGAGAGCAAAAGTGAAGTTTGAAGACATAGGTAACAATATTTGGAAGACCATCGAGCCCAGAAAGAGGATAGCATTTTTGGAAATTATGAATATTTCACTACGTTTGGGGTGAGATGGAGGGAGTGGAAAGAAATGAAGCTAGGAAGACAGGCTGAGGCCGGGGAGGATCCTGCCAGATCAGGAAGGGCTTGGTGCATTCAAATGAGGAGAGTCTGAACTTTAGTTCGGGAACAGAAAGTTTATCCATCTTCCCCACTGTTCTATTTCCAGCACCTAACACAGTGCCTGACATAGGAAGTACCCCAGAATATGAAGAGAGGACTGATGAGCACTTCACTGATGACAGGAAGCCACTGAAGAATATTAATCAGAATAAACATAATCAACTCTACAGCTGAAACCATTCTCTTAAACATTGCTGACAGAAGTGTAAATCAGTACAACCGCTTTGGCAAATGGTTTGGCATCTTATCCTCAAGCTGAACATTCACACACCCCCTAATCCAGGAATTCTACAGGAGATACTCTTGCTATATACAACAGGAGGCATGTGTGAGAAAGTTCACAGCAGCACTATTCATAGTTAACGAAAGTCTGGAAGCAACCCAAATGGCCATTATCAGAAGAGAAGATGAATGAACTACAGTATATTCACACGGTTCGATACTACATAGAAATTAATAAAATACAATGACATGCAATAATATGGATGGATCTTGACAATAAGCTATTAAGAAAGTATTCCCCCCAAATTACACACAGCACAAAGACCTTATAAACTTAAATACAAATACATACACACACACACACACACACACACACACACACACACAATATAGAACATATGGTATCTGGAATTTACTTCTAAATAATCCACAGGTGGAGGAAAGTGGCCTGGATAGAAAGGCAATGTGTTGATAAATGTTGCAGCTGGCTGGCAGGTGCATAGGGATTCATATTTTTTTCTATTTTTGCCTAAGTTTGAAATATTCCATAATAAAAAGTACTTTTTAAAAATATGTAAACACGATAAAACTATATAAAAAGGGACACAGGGAAGGATGAACCTAGGAATCAGAGTGATTGTTACCATGGGTAGGGGCAGGCAGTGGGTGGAACTGGGGATTGCTTATTACATCATTAAAACATAGTAGTAACTAAGAGTGGGCCATGAATGGACCATTGCTGACAGGATGTCACAAACCAAGGATTATGATTTATCAAATTCGGTATACCAGAAGTACCATTTAAACTAATGTTAGGAACAACAGGTATTTTCTTATTTAAAAAACTTATTCTGATAGTAATATGGAAGATGCTTAGAGGTAGACAAGGCTGAAGTCAAGAGACCAATTAGAAAACCAGTACAGTAATGCAGGTGAAAAATACAAAGACGCTGAGTTCAGGCAAGCAGTAAAGAGGTGAGAGCTTCTGAGAGAGATTTACAAGATTATCAGGATGGGGTGCTGGGGCACTTAATGTGATCAGGCAATTATATAGTTTGTTTCTAATCAGCTTTCCACAATGACTATTTAAAACTTTCCTGGTCTCCCGATATACCTCAGAACCACCTGCTCTTCCCCCTCTCCCTCATCACCCCTGCAGACAATAAAACCATCATATGAGCACACTGCAGCAGTTCCATCACCAAATCTATACATGCCCCTCACAAACCCCCACCACTTCCTTCTCCCTGCTCTCCCTTCTATCCTCTCTCCTATCAAGTCCTTCTCCACACTCAGGGCCGCAGCCCTCCTTGTACTATCAATTCCTTCCTGTATCTTCAACCTTTCCGCTAAAGGCGCCCTCCCATCACGCCTGAACCCCATTTCCCCAACTCCAGCTTCATCCTCCTTTCATTACTAAACTGGTAATAATTGTTTACATTCACTGCATCTATTCTCACTATCCAGCCATTCCTCAAATGATACTAGTTTGGCTTCAATCCCCCAAACTCCACTGAAATGGTTCTCCGTCCATATTAGTAATTCTATCTTGTCTCTCTGCTGCGTTTGACAGAGGACTCCCTGCCAGTTCTAACATTCTGCTCCCTTGTCTTCATGATATCACATAATCCAGATTTTCCCGTTTTTCCATCACTCTTTCCTACTCCCCTCTGCCAGTTCATCAGCCTCTACTTGACCTTGAACTATTTTCTAAACAGTCCTAACCCTCAGGGCTCCATCTTAATATAAAGGCTTTTCTCTTGTCAATCCATACCTTTCCCTAAGCAATGCCAATGCTCTCTTTCCTTTTATTACTATCGTAATAAAAGGACACATAGATGATAATTACATTATCATCTACATGTGTATTACATTATCATCTACATGATAATTACATTATCATCTATGTGTCTACTACTCTTGAATGTTTATCTCCAACTCAGACCTTCCCTCTAAGCTCAAGCACCAGATATATAAAACAGCTGACCTTGTGACCCACTGACTCACAAGCACGTCTAAGACAGAGGTATCCAAAAGTTAACTTCACCCTAGATCCACTTCTCCAACATTCTCCATCTCCTAAGTAGCACTAACCTCTGCCTCACCACTGTCACATCTCGTCTCTGGCACTTCCCTCAACTGAATCAGTTTTCCTCTTTCAAAGATCTTCTAAATTTTTCTCAAATCTATTCATTTCTGTCCATCTCCGTTGTTACTACCTAACCCAAACACCATCTTTCCCCGAAACTGTTGTTCTCACTAGATTCACACTCACACCAATTCCATTTATTCTCCCTAGAGGAGCCAACATAGTCTTTAAACAAAAAAAAATGAACAAGCCTTGAACCTGTCCCGGTCACTTCCAAACTGAAAATCCTCCCATAGTATCCCAACACCCTTTGCATAAAGCCCAAAATCCTAAACACTGTTCCCAACGCCCTGCAAGATGAAGTTTCTCCTACTTCCCCAGTACCATCTCCATCCCCCTTTGCCAAACTCCAAGCACACAGGTTTTCTTTCAATTCCTCAAATATATAAAGCTTCTTCCCTCCTCTTTGGATCCAAGGGGTATTTGGACATAAGGTTTCCCTGCCTTCACCACTCTCCTTCCATGTCTTCACCGGGCACCCAATTTAAATGTCACCTCCTCGGGACAGTCTTCTTGACTTTCACCCTGATCCCAAGGCTGAATCAGGTCTCTTTCTGTGTTTTCAGAGCACTCTGTACTTTCTAATGAAGCAATTATTAAACCATTCAGGTGATTCTTTGTGTAATGTCTGGTGCCTCAATGATTTTTATCTCTAACTCATTTAATCCTCAACACACCCCAAAGTAGGTATTTAACAAAAGCTATTTTATACACGAAGAAACTGGCAAAAAGATGTTAGGCCATTTGCTAGGTCACACAGTAAGTCATGGACTTGGAATCTGACGAACTACAAGAGTCACATTTGCAGCCACTACTCTGTCCCTCCACATATTGACACTCAAATATCTGATGAATAAAGAGATGGATAAATGAAAGAACTGGATATGAAACCAGTCTCAACCTCATCCTCTGATCCCACTGCTGTTACCATAGTCTAAAACGAAGGTCTTACCCTAGTAACTAAATGACCCCCAAGAATCTCTTACTAGGTTCCTTAACTTCTCTTTCTTCTCCAGGCACATGTTCCTAGATGATTCTTTCCAAAGTATTTTCCTTATCCTATTAAACTGCTGTGCAATAGCCAGCCATGACCCCTGCTACCTACGAAGTTACTTGGCTTTCAGACTTCTCCCTGACAATGACCTTTTCTACCATCAGGTGTGTTGTCTCCACTTTATCCACTCATCCCCAACTCAGTCACATATGAATCAAGCCTTTACACACACTGTTCTCTCTCCAGTTTTCTTCTAACTCCGAATCAAATCCTACCGATCCTTCAAGAATCTGCTCAAGAATCCCAAAAGTCCTAAGCAGGAATACAGCCAACTCTTCTCTAAACTCATGTGTCACTCCAAGTTAGTACCATTTACTTTGTACCTCTTTGGGCTCTAAGATCTTTGAAGACTTGACTTGTCTTTCCTTTCAAGCTTCCCCAAGTTTCTAGTATATATCTGAGCACATCAGTAGAAAGAGCTCAACCTCAATATTTACTTGCTAACTGATAAACTAAAAGAATGAAAAAAGTTATTATGAGATCCCAATTTGTATTAAATCCATAAGAAGCAAAAACTTCAAGCTCTAAATATATGTACATGTTTGGGGGTAAGGCATGGGAAGCAACGGTGAAGAAGACTTTCCTGGGCACATATCAAGGAGAAAGACTACTGAGAGTTGGCAGCCACAGTAACTCATAAAGAGAAGGAATCAAACATTCTTCCAGTAACAGCCAGGTGGGCTTCACGTCTACCTAACTGCAGAATTCCCTCAATCACCCCTTACTTTAAGAGAGCACTGCAAAGGAAGAGAATTAAGACCTCCTGAATAAACAGCCATGGAGGGCTGAAAGAATACAAGGAAATCTGCCCTGGGTTGAGAATAAGCCTTCCCAGATATATAGGGCTGTTTTCAGTCAACTCTGCTTCCCTTCCTAACTCAAATAACTCACAAGTTACAAGGGATTCGAGTGCTATGGAAATTAAGAAAAGGGGAGAAAAAATAAGAATCCTGAGAAGTCGTAATGGGGTTGCAGGGTGGGCCCTGGTCTACAGTGGTTCCCTTCATCCTCCCCAGTGCCCATCCACAGGTCAAGTGGTTGCCACTGACCTGATCTGCATCTGTATGAACTCCCGGAGACTGAGCAGATGGCACCTCCTGCTGGACCGCAGCCACTGCCCCGTTAGGCATCAGGATGAGTTGGGAGGCTAGAGGCACATTCCGGCCCAGGGTCCGGTTTACCTGCAATAGGTTTCCCAGCTGTGGCTGGCAAGGAGAGGAGGAAGAGGAAGAGCAAAGGAAAGAGAACAAGAGGAGAAAAAGAAAGACAGAAGAAATGGAAGGGAAGGACCACAAGACAAAATAAACAGAAGATACGAAACTGCTAAGCCCTGCCCCTTTCCACACCAACCCAGGTGACCCTTATTCTCCATATGCGATGAATCATCCAGAAGGAAACCTAGAATGTATATAAAACTATAGATTGATATCAAAGAGTCAAACATCAAAGAAGTTGAGACAATGAGGATTTTAGAACAAGGATTTATGTATAGTAAGTAGACAGGCTAAGAGATAACACTTAGAATTTGGGTACTCAAGCCACAGGTTTAAAGATTAGATTCTATGTGACACTACTTCAGTCAAATATTAAGGCGAACACCTTCTCACTTAGGATCTCAATGCAATCTGCAGGCTACCTGTGAATCCTGAGCATCACTTCTAGAGGTAAGTAAGGCCTAGAAAGTAGATCAGCATATCTTAACGTATCTGGGCAACCATGGTTAAATCAAACAGCTTTCACTCAAGTCTGTGGCAGGGGCATAACAATTACGCCCCTAGAACAATGGTGGTTGTGTTTGTGGCTTACCCGTAGATACATCTGGGCCTGGGACTGGTTCAGAGGTGGGGAGGTGGTGTTCCCCAGTAGCACAGATTGGGTCAGAGTGGTAGCACTGGGAGAGCTCACACTCTGGGATCGGCTGATGAGCTGGGCGGCCGACGTAGTGGCCAGGTTGATCTGTGTGGTACAGAAAGGAACAGAACTAAGGACTTAGGAGACGTAAAAAGAAATGCAACATCACCGACAAATGCAGAGGGACACAGTGAAGAACAG